CTGCGCTGCAGGTGAGCGCCGCAGAGCCCCCCCCCGCCCAGCGCGGCGGCTCCCGGGCCCGCCCTCCCGGAGGGCCCCTTCCCCGGCGGCTGCCCGCCTCGTGGCGCTCTCGCCCGCCCGGGGTGGCCGGCGGGCTCCCGTGGCCCTGCCTCCGCATCGCGGGTCCCCCGGCCGCTGGCAGCGGCCCTGCCGCCCGCCCCTCGCCCCTGCCGCCCTTTGCAGCGACGGGGCCACCGGCGAGCAGCGCCGCCCTCTCGCTTCGGCTTCGCCCGACGGCTGATCCCAGCCGAAGCCGGGGCTTCACCTGGCTTGGATTGCTGCGCTTGCGAATTACCTGGGGGAGAGGTAGGCAGCCGGGCGTCCCCCAGATGCCTTGACTACAGATCCCATGAGCCCTTACCCAGCATGGCCGACGGTTTCGTGTACAAAACTCGGGTTCCCCGCCTTGCCCCCCCCCCCGGGGGTTGCCTGGTGGAGGTCGAGTTTCCCGTGCAAATCTCATAGCAACTTCGGAAGCCGCGTTACGTGGAGTCGCATCCCTGATCCGGCTGGCTCAGCATCCCACCTGGCTGCAGCTAGCGGAAAAGGTTTTCTCACCTGCTGCAGGACGTGCCCGAGTTTGAAGGTGGGACCTTTTGCCTACCTGCCGGGCAGATGCTCCTTTCCAAGTTGCAGCTTCCTCCCCTAAGCAGGTATAAATCCAAGTTATGCATGGAATGGGTGTATCTAGCCCTGATCTGTCTTGTGGAGTTATTAGGTGGGTAATAATATGTCTATTTGTAATTACACGCTGCATGTAACTAGTTCTGTGGGGATAATTCTGTCTCTGTGTCTCCTTGCCCATCTCTGAGGAGTCTGAGCGAGGAAACTCATATCCACCAGGTATGTTGGACTCATGATCCCTAGCCACCATGGTCTGTGCTCAGGGATGATGGGAATAGGACAAAAGAATTAACTTCTGAGGCTTTTGAACCCCATGTTGCCTGCTTTCAAAATTACTGAGTCACCAAGAGGAGTTACGTGCATTTCACAACCCTCTTGGAGGCTCTCCCCTCCTGCCTTCGAAGCGTTGCAGATTGTTCTGGTATCTCAGCAGCCTGAGATACCAGAACATCAAGGGCATGAATAAACTGCCTCCTAGTTGTCCACCTTACTGCTTGCCGAGAAAGATCTACTCCCGGGATCCTTCCAACTGCAGATGAGCCTGGCGTGCCACGCAGGTGTTCTTGTGCTTGCAGAAATGTCTTTTAAACCTGAGCCATTCCACAACAAAATAAATAAACCCACACTCCATCTAGTAGGGCTGCATTACATATAATTAGGAAGATAGCTGAGTGCAAAACGAAACCAACGGGATTAATTGGACTTTATTAGGTTGTTGAACATTAATTTTTATAATTGTTTCTCCTCATCTTTTCTGTGATTCTCTTTAGCGGAATGACTTGGCAGATTCCTCAGGAAATCTGGCGGTGTAGATTAGTGTTTGCTAGGCTGTTGAACAGACCTCATTAGTTTGAATGGAAGTTTGGCCAGAGCAGACGATCTTGTTCCCTTCCAGCCATGATTTCATGCACCAGCGTTTACCCCTTATCTGCTGCCCGCTGAGGCAAGGCTTCGGTGCCCTTAAACAGCAGGACCTTTTCCTGCGATGACAAAAACTTGTCCAGATGAATAGCTGCCTGTGATGCAGGTATTAATAACACAAGTGCAAGATAGTTGTTTTGTCTGAGGTAGGAAAAAGGATGCAAGTTCTACCCAATGTAAATGTTTTAAATATTGTCTAATTTTGGCGCTCAGCATACAAACACAGAAAGCTCGTATTAAGTCCTGGATAGTGTGATATAACAAAGTATGTCTGAGCATGTGCAGATTGGTTTCCTCTTTCCCCTGAGAAACTCAACCTGCCTCCAGGCATCAGGGATGATGTTTATGGTACACTTACATTCTAGTTCAAAATATCAAAGTTGCTGTTTTGCAGAGTGCACTTTTAAACAAAAACCGTTTTTCTGTAAAGGTTTAAGCCTTTTTTTCTACCTGAAGAGGTGGAACCCTGATTGTGAAAAAACAGGATATAAATGCTGGTGTGATTGACAAGGCATAGCATTAAGGTTCAAGAAGCTGAATACGAAAACCTATTTCAAGCCCGTTCTCTCTGTCTCCCTCTCTCTCTCTCTCTTTCTCTCTCGTTCCCCAGTCCTCTAGTTTTTGTGTATTTCTGTGAAGATAATTTTGAGTTAATTTAAAAGGTATCAAACTCATCCAAAAATGGCTAGTGCATTAATTAGTTGGGTTGTCCCTGGTTAAAGAAATTTCTTTCAAATTGTTTATTGAGGTTTCATTCTTAATAATTTCAGCTATTGGTTGAATTTAAAAGCACAATAGTTTTAACACTTAAAATGTCTATTTTTTCAGTAATGTATATTAATAAGATTTTCTTTTAATATAAAATATATTAATTCTTAATAGGAATAATTAGGTGAAGTTTGCCTAATTAATTGGAGTCAGGTTTTGTTTACAGCAATTTACCCACTGTTTAGACTCCCGGAATGAGAGTATCAGTGGAGAATTTCCCATGAGCTTATGATTTAAAGAGACACTCAAGAAATGGGATGCAGCGGGAAGATCTTAGCTGACTTAAAATTAAAACTAATGATAATAATTTCAGTTTATAGACCAACCATATTGCCACAACGTGGGGTGTATACATATCAATAATAAAGCAATCCAGAACAACTTAAGACTCCTATAAAAGCCGAAATTCAAGAATAGCATCTATGAGAGCATGCCTCAATAACCCAAAAAGAGCCACTGTAACTGAGAAACTTGACAGCCTCTTGGGCCTTAGTTCATATTTCAGCTGCCCAGAACTGCGATAAAGGCTGGGGAATGGCTTAGATTTCCGCCTCGTCTCCGCCAACTCTTTCCACACACACACTGGGGATTCTCGCCCACGTGGTGTCTCGGGAAGTGGAGCCTAGGAGTAAGATTTGCTCCAGGTCGCTGGATTCAGGATTCAGGGGTACAGCGCACAACAGAAGCTGCCTGGGACAGCAGACCTGAAGGGTCAAATGGGGCTGTATCAGAAGGCCGCATCCCTGCAAGGATGCGCATTTAAATGGCCCCAGCAGAGCTTCTCTCCAGGTGTGCGCGCAAGAGCCGGTTTGCGAGGCTGGAGCGCCCCCTGGAGGCTTCAGGGGCCCTCACACGCACATATGCCCTTCGCCAACCTTCCCATCCTTGATGCCCGACTCCCACCATCCCTCAGTGGCTGAGGATGGTGGGAGTTATAGCCCGACACGCAAGGCTGGGAACATTTCTAGTGGGCCTCCCAAGTCTGTCAACATCACTTCTCTGCTCCCCCTAGCGTGTTTTTTATTGTTTCCAGTTAGAGATGTTGGACTACGAGGGGGTGGTCTGGTGTGTGGAGAAGGACGGGGGCTGCCCATCTTCTCCAGTAGAATGGCAGCCTGTGGGTACTGAGGGGGCCTGCAGGACGGAGCAGCCTCCATCTGTCTCCATGGCAACGGCCAGGAGGCCTGCAAGGGAAGAGATCTGTTGCCCGGGTTCGTCTCCACATCCGAGGGTTTTCGGGCCCGCTGGTCAGAGATGGCGGCCTGGCATTCAACTGGATGTGTTTTTTAAACAAGCAATTTAGCATTAGGAAGGTCAGTTTCTGCAGCATATGGGAACCCTGAAAGAGAAGGAAAACATTGACAAACTTTAGGGAGATGCATTTATTTGGTGTTTATTAAGTGTTTTACAAGAATCAGGAACTAGCTTGGTTCTCTCTTCCATCTCCAGCTCTAGTTCTAATAATCGTGATGGTGGTTTATTAATTTTAAGAATAACCCTGTAGTCGAAGCTACAGGATAAAAACAGCTACAGGGTAAAAACCAAGATAAAGTGATAAGACATAGAAGTGTAAAAAAAAACTGTAAAAGCCTCACCAGTGTTAATTTGAAGTAATTTTAAAAGGAAGCAGCTAAAATATGGAAAATGATTGTTTTAAAACAAATTGCTATTTAAAAGAAATAGAAATGGCATGTATTTGTTTGTTTATTTGAAGGCCTAGGTGAATAAAAAGATCTTGGTCTGGCACTGAAAAGTAGGTACTGGACAAATTTGGAAGGCACTACAGGAATGTTAAAAACCTTTATTTCACAGTTGTGCATAGCAATCTTCAGCATGTTTACTCATAACTAAGTTATCAGAACTCTGAGTTCAGAGTTTACTTTGCTGTAAACATGCCCAGAATTGCAGCCTTGGACAGGGAAGAGGGGCAAGATGGCAGCCAGAACATTTTTGAAGTACTATTGATGGGGCTTGAGGCTTGACGGGTTGGCCTTCTACTATCGGCTCGAGTGCAGTATATCTTAATTTGTCCTGCTTAAAATGGTACAGCCTCTTAAAAGAAACAGGCCCTGTACAACAGGGATTTGAAGGAAGAAGTGTTTTGTCACACAAAAGAAAAGGAGAGACCTTTGGATAAAGAGAGGGCACGGTTTGAGGCCTAATGGAAACAGGTGAGAAAGGTGGCTAAGCTGCATTGATTCTCGCCATCACCGTGCCTGTGAATTTTGTCTGAAGGGGGTCAGTGCCTTTTAGGCTAACATGTTGTGCTTGTGGGTTGTCCAATAAACACATGGAGCCCATCGCTTGTTAGTTCCTGTTTTAGGTGAGCAAATCCAGCCTGATTCCCAACATGTGTTCAGATGCCTCTGATGAAGGGGACAGACAGCGTGCCCAAAAAATTATGCAAAATAAACTTGTTACACCTTGTTTTGGTGACACACAATCTGTTCCTTTTGCTGTAACGGACTTATGTGCCCCCCTGTCTGGAAAAAGGTAGGAGAGTTTCCTAGCACACCAAATTGCCGCAGCCTTAATACAGAGGGAGCCCTTTCTGCAGCGAGAGGGGAAGTCTACGCCGAAAATCTGCCTGCCTCATCACTTTGAGATCCAGCTAGGCTTGCTCTGTTCTCTTTCGCAGGAGTGGCTGGCCGGAGACGCTGGCGTTAACCCTGGGCTAGGAGCCGCCTCCTTCCCCTTCCTCTCCTCCCGCTGTTTTTCAACCTCTACCTCAGTCCGGGGCAAGCCAAGGATGCGGGCCTGGAGAGCAGTGGCCTGCACGCTGGCCTTCACGGGCGTGGACGTGACGGTGACGACGCTGCTGTACGAGCGCAGCCGCAGCACCAGCAGCATCCTGCAGGACCTGAAGCATTTCAACATCTTCGACTCCATGCTGGACATCTGGGCGGTCTGCCTGTACCGGAGCTGCTTGCTCTCGGGCGCCGCCATCGGGGTGGCCAAAAACACCAACTACGGCCCCAAGCGGTTGAAAAGGTCCTGTATCTTTATCGCGGTGGTCTGCCTGGCGGCTGGCATTTACGCCTTAGTCAAGCTTCTGCTCTACTCCGAGGTGAGGAAGACCATCAAGGACCCGTGGTTCTGGAGTCTGTTTGCCTGGACATATGTGTCGCTGGCGGCCACGTTCTCCTTGTGGCAGCTGCTGTCCTTTGTGAGGCCTTCCCGGGAGTCGTTGGGCGTGAATTCCGAATCTAGGACAGAAGCAGAAGAAATTGGGGACCCGACTTCTCCCGGCACTCAGGAAAACAAAGAGGAGGCCTCAGCAGCCACGATTTGTAAGCTCTTGTCTTATACCAAACCAGATGCTCCCTTGCTGGCTGTGGCCTTTTTCTTCCTCTTACTTGCTGCTCTAGGTGAGTGCCTTGAAAAGTGACTACACCTGCTTTGGGTACCGAGCGTTGCTACTCATTCCTTAACGTCTGTGCCTCATTTCAAGCATTCGAAGCACTTGATGTACATTCTGTTGTTCTTACAAGAGCCCTCCAAGTATTCCTTTGCCCTTCATGTTGGGGGGCCGGTGGGAGACTGACCGTAGCTTGTCCAAAACTACATGGGGAGTAGGTGTTTTTCCTAACTTGTTGCTCAGCCCCGAGCCACAGCACTGCACCAGCTCAATGCACACCAGGGGTATGTACTGTGTGGATCTCCAGATGTTGCTGGACTTCCTGGCGACCCGTGGCGCTGGTCAGGGTGACGGAAGTTGTAACCCAGCAACATCTGGAGTTGCTCCACATTTTATGTTTGAAAATGCAGTGGTGTTTCCTGTCGTTTCCAAATTGGGACTTTGCTTTTGATCTAGCTTATACTTTCATGTTGCCCAAACAGGAGAGACATTCCTGCCTTACTACACTGGCCGAGCCATTGATGGGATAGTAATCCAGAAGAGCATGGACCAGTTTTCCGTGGCAGTGATGATCATGGCCCTTCTAGCCATAGGAAGGTAGTCTTCTTTAAGTGATTGGTGAATTATGCCACCTCTGTCATAGTACACCTTGGTCGAAACCCAGGGTGGAATTATTGCCATCTTGGGTGTGGGGGGGTATAGTGGTGTGGTGTGTGGGTGTTATTCTGCAGGATTTTCAGCACTGCTTGCCTGGGGTCTTAGGTATGGGAAACCATTCCCTGCCTTTTGCCTGTAGAGATAGCTATACTTCCTTGTAGTGTGCTCTCCCAGCATTCTCTCCTTTTTCACTTTTTAGAGACGCAATAATCTTGTTTTATGTCATGTAACTTGTTAAAAGGTATTTTGGGAAGTTTTTATGCAAGACTTTCCCTTTTTAGTAACATTCACGTGGAGCAGAGAATTGTATTTGCTTGTTTTTCAAAGATTAGTCCATCCTCCTGTAAAAATGGGTGCTCAGTGCAAGGTCTCAATGCCTTCCCTACGGCTCAAGGCATCGCTGTGCAATTCAATCATTATCAAGGAAAAGAGTCACATGTCCTTAATTGTAAGGAAATACACAATGGCGATGGCTTTATCTTGCCACTTAGGTGCTTTTGCAGATTTGGGTCAACCTTCCGGCAAGTTGCTGTTTCTTGAATCGGAGGGGGGAAACAGGCTAATGCCAGGAAGTAAACTCTGAGCAGGGTCCCCTTTTGAACCTACTTTCCCCTGCTGTCTTCAGGAGTAAACCCCTAGTAGCCAGATGTTTAGCATGGCTTGTAGGCTTCAAGAAGATGCGCTGGAGAACTGATGCTCTCGGAGTGGAGTGGGCATCTTTTGGTAAAATACTACAGATGCAAGACCTGTGGAGTAGCCCTCTGACTCGTGAGTTTTACATCCCTGCAGTAAAGGCTTTGCAGCTGTGGAGCACCAACCGTTAGGCCTAGCATCGCATACACATACAGCTCTCCCCATTGGAAAACAACTACATTCAGAGCAGAGAGGGAGGTCGCCTTTTGCCGATCTCTGCGCAACCTTTGGCAGCACCTTCTGTCTTGCAGCGGAATGAACCCTGGCATGCAAGCCTTCACCAAGCCTTGACTCAAACTTGCTGGAAAGGCCAGGCCACCCGGGTGGACAAGCTGATCACCTGCTTTTAAGCCAGCACTGTGAGATCGTCCCCTCTTGAGGTGGCAGTGAAAGCGTGGGAAAGCAGTCAGCCCTGCTGTATCGGAAAAGCCGCAGCTTGGCCCTGCTGCCTGGGGCGCAGACTGTTTTGTCTTCCCTCTCATGTGGTCGGGGGGCTGAGGGGCTGTGTGTTGGCGTCTGTCTGTCCTATAACGTCTCTTATCTGCAATCAGCTCATTTGCCGCAGGTATCCGGGGCGGGGTCTTCACCCTCGTGTTTGCTAGGCTGAACATCCGGCTTCGCAACAGACTCTTTCGGTCGTTGGTCTCGCAGGAGATGAGCTTCTTCGATGAAAACCTCACTGGTGAGTTTCTCTGTCTTGGATGGCGGGATACGCATTTTGCTTGCCACTTGAATCCTCCACTGCTGCAGAACCCCTGTGGCAATGCTCTGCTTTTCTGGCACAGTCAGAACTGTGGACACCGGGGAATTGCCCCGGCTGTGTATCCAGGCCTGGGCTGGCACATGAAGGAATTCCGACTTGGAGCAGAAGAACAGCGTCCCGTGTCACGGACGTCTTCTGCAGCTGCCCTCGGTTTCAAGGGGATTCGCCATGTGGCCTGGAGGGAAAGGCTGTTCTTTGGCGGCAGCTGTGCTGTGCTCTTTCAGCCCTGTCCTCAAACATTTTTAAGTAAAGGAGGCACTTAAGCCTCCTCGCGGTCTGGCCTGTATGTCTGAGGGTTCTGGCTGCCAGCTCCCATCTGACCGAAAGCACCACAAGAGCCTCATTCACTGCCGTCCCACATCGCTTGAGGGGGAGACTGGAGGTTTGTTTCTCAGAACAGCAGCAGGGCGTGAGTGTCGGAGCTAGGGCTCAGTCAGAGACAAGTGGAAGGTAGCTTGGGGTTGAACGTTCTCACAGTAGCACCTAACAAAGGGATGGCCGCACCTCACGTAGACTGTTGAAATTAAGAAAGCTTGTGGGAGCCAGGAATGGATTTCACAGTCGCCACGGACGCCTGTGAGCTCAGCCGTTCCTGGTCCTCAAATAAAATCCCTGGGCATACTCAGTACCTGCTCAGAGGAACCCTGTTCTTGAATTTTTTATCCTTTGCATCTGGCACCAGTTAGTAGGCCTCAGAGCTCTAGTAAAATGAGATACAGACTCCTGAAGCTTCCTGCTGGCCCTCTCCTGTGTTGAATGGTGTGGAAGTCCTTGAAGGAATTCAGGGGCGTGGAATCACCCTCCACCCCCATATTTGCATCCAACTTCCAGGATCCCTTATACAGGCCCCTGGTCATCTGTGGCTGGATTTCAGTGTTGCAGTTCCAGGAAAAAAATATCTGTTCCACAGCCCAGCAAAGTAGGCTGAATTTAGAAATGTGCTTCGCACAACCTGGATACAGCTTGTAGGAACTGCCTGATTGTATCCTTGATTTGTGCTTTCCTCCTTGGAAGGAGAGTCATCTTAAATGGAGTTGCTTTCCTTCCTGGGAATAAAGGTGGCCAACATTTGTCTGGTGCACCTGAGCTCCAAATAGGTGAGTCACCTCCCCTGTCCAGATGGGCCACTTTGCCCCAGAGAAGGCTGGAGTTGCGTTGATGCAGAGCAGGAATGGGGAGCTGTTAGGTTGATTCCCAGGAAACCACTGGGTCCAGATGTTGCTGGGCGTGATTCCTTTCCCAGTATCATTGGAGTCACTTTCCTTTGTCAGCAGGACTCCGCTTTCCTCTTCTGTTGGTGACGAGATGCCAGGGGGGGTTTCTTTTGGCATTGGTGGGCTTCTCCAGTGCTGACAAGCAAACAAGAATTCAAATGCTTTATTTAAGGAGTATCTCAGGACTCTTGGCAGACTGAGCTGTGCCCATGGGCTAAGGGTCCCCCTTCCTGAAACCAAGCAGCTTGTTTTTTAAGAAACCCAAACTGTGGATGGACACCCCAGTTGATGGTCGAAGAGGCTTTCAATCAGCCTCTGCTTAGAATCTGAAGTGTGCTCAGGGACCAAATGGGAGCAAAACATGCTTCTTTAATGTAATTGATTGCTTGATTGATGTTTATTTTTAAAAAACACAGTTACTTCTGTTGCCTTTCTCTTATTGGTTTTATTTACGCTTTCCATAGATTACATAGCCTTGCGGTTAAATTATTTGTGTGGAATTTTACTGCTATCTGTTGTTTTGGTGGTTGAGTGCAGTCAATAAGTCTTACAGATACTTAAAAAAAAATCTCTGGGGCATGCATTGGGATCTCTAGCAGTTTGAAGAAATTTAAACATGAATTTTACAAGAAAGCACATGCTGGAAAGAAAGACATGGATCTTCTGCCCAGTGTTTTTTTTGTAAGAAAAATGGTGCCGGAACTCATGAAATTATTTACCTTTCGCAGGTAGTCAGTCACTGTACACACACCCACACGTCAGTTGTGTAACGAAACATAACAGTCGCCACCTGCAGTAAGCACTCAGCGCATGACCACACAACTAATCACAAGCCAAGCAGCGCCATCACAACCAGCGTGGACGAAGTACGCATGCATTGGATTTGACACACAAGCAGCCCGCATGCACCGTTTTAATGATTTTGCCGCCGACCCGCTACGCTCGACAGGGCGATTCAAATCCATGTGGACCAAACATCAAATTTTCAAAAGTTACTTTTAAAACTTGGAAAATCTGTTGAAAAAAGGTGCCGGAACTCTGTTCGAGTGCGTTCTATGCCAAAAAAAGCACTGCTTCTGCCTACGGGCATGGAGGAGACTGGCACAGGAACAGAGGTCTTGCCATCTGAGCAGTCTCCTGCTGATGCACAACGCTTCTGTTCTCGTTTTCTCCTCTCTCCTGCAGGTGACATTATTTCCCGGCTGACGTCCGACACAACCATCGTGAGCGACCTGGTCTCGCAGAACATCAACATCTTCCTGCGCAACATGGTCAAGGCCACGGGAATAATCGTCTTCATGTTCAGCCTCTCCTGGCAGCTCTCCCTGGTGACCTTCATGGGTTTCCCCATCGTCATGCTCATGTCGGACCTTTATGGGAAGTACTACAAGGTCAGTCTCTGCAGCTTGTAGGCCCGAGTGCAAAGCTTAGCCACCCCACACTTCCTTCGTGTGAGGGTAAGAGGAGTAAGGGTGGCGAAGTAATAGAAGAGAGTACTCTTAAGCATGCACAGAGAGCCTCTCCCTCCTGCTGCCCCTAGGGCCGGTCCCAGCACATGCAGCGGCTCTAAGCAGGCAGAAATCTGAGACTGCGAGCTGCTTTCCCAGTATCTCTGATGTCATTGTGGTTTGGGGGAGAGCCCCTGTCCCTTCTCTAGACAGAAGGATGGGTGGGCACTCTCCCTTTTGGCGAGAGAGGTCCTTCCTGAATGTGGTTGTCACTCTGCCTTTCTACCAAGAGAAACGGCACAGAATGTGGCTTTCAGTCCCAAGTGAAACCTGAGCAAGACAAGAATAAACGCAATCGAAAGCGGAACAATCCTGCCGTGAAAGCTGCTGCACGTGGGCCGCTGCTGCCAAGCAGCCTCGGTAAAGGGCCCGCTCCTGCTGCTGAGCGAGAGCCGGCACGCGGGCTGCGTTGGAGCTGGTCCCCAGGCACGCTTCGGTACGGCAGGAGCCAGGGCCCTGCCAGATCAGAGCGAAGGTCCATCTAGCCCTGCATCCCACGTGCCCAGTGGCCGGCCAGCCGCCCGCCCACAGCAGCCCCCGCGTGCCATAGCGCCCCCCACCAGGCGTCCTCCCCAGCCGCGGTTCTGCAGAGGCCTGTTGGATTCAGTCGCTTTAGGTTTCATCTAAATCCTCCTCCTCTAATCAGCAGGTGCCCTGCAGATCGTGTGTTGGGCTACGACTCTCATCATGCTAACCAAGAATGATGGGAATTGCAGTCGCACGGATCGGGAAGGCACCGGCTTGTAGAAAGGCCGGCCTGTATCTCTGAATACAGGACAGAACCAAAGACAGGAGACGGGAGTGCTGACTGAATGATGTCACCATGGGCCCTTAATAAGAAGACCTGCAGTTCCCCATTCGCAGCCCCGTTTGCACAACTGGTGGCTGGCAACCCCTCCTTGGCACGGGATCTCCAAATGCAAAGTGACTTGGCATTCCACTGTCTCCTGCACCAGACTCTAAGAAACTGTTCCCAAGAGCTGCTCCACTTTGCCCTGCCTCCCTGATTCATGTCCTTGGGAGTTATTTTAATCCTCTGAATTTCAAAGAGGCTGGTAGTACGTAATACTGCATGAGTAACCCTTGTGCTGTCTTCAGAGTCTCATCTTTGTTTCTTGGCCTTTCCCATACTAGCGCTCTGACTCACTGCGTAGCTGAGAGAATGACTAGACGTGCAGATGCAATCAGCCGGGCTGCTCTTCTTAAAACTCTGGCAGAGATTCCGCAGAGTTTTCCCCTTTTTGCCTTGGCGGTGCTGCAGCCCAGCTGTCTGCTTTGCCCTTCCGTGGAATGTAGTTGTCCTGCTTGCCAGAGCAGGTGGCAAAAGGACATAGGGAGCCATAGATCGTCTTACCGTCTCAGGTGACCTAAAAGAAATGGGAGCCATCTCTGGAGAGGAAATCCTATCGGGGGTGTCTGTGCAAGGGGTGGGGCACCATCCTTCAGAGGCTATGTACTCAGCTGCTCCGTGTTCAGGGGCAGATCATGAGCGCGCTGCTTGAGGCCTGTTCGAACTCCCTGAGGGGTTGTTTTTATTTTCCACAAAAGCAGACAGCCTCCCTATGCCATCCTTGATAACCCTTCCTGTGATCCCAGCAGCATCGCTTTCCGCTGCCTGTCTGTAGATGGCTCCAAAAGCTGGGGGAGGATTTCCTGCTCCTCCCACCCCCTCCCTTGCCTCTGGGACCAGGAGCGACTCTTCCGCCTGCCATGTCTGCCTCGGTGCTCTACTTCCCTCCCCTCTCGCTTGCCTCCACCCTACTTGTAATACCGGTTGCAGCTCCTGCATGCCTGCTTAATACTTCATTGTTCGTGAGCTGGCTGGCGTCACGGCGCATCTTTCCGCATAAGCCTCTGCCCGAGGTCAAATGCCCCATCAGCGGCTGAATGCTTAAGTCGGCAAAAGTGCTCTTCCTGTTTCGGCTGCGTCCTTCATGCTTCGCCAGTGCGCTCCGACTGCTGTGGCAAGAGGCCAGCCTGCTCCCAGCACAGAGACACTCTGTGCAAGCCGAGTGCCTGATGCCTGGCTTCTGGCCAGCAGCGGCTTCTTGGCTCGCTTGTTGCTGGATTAACCCTGCTGTACGCAGAACGCAGGGAGGCAGGGGAGGTTTCTGCTAAAGTAGGGACTGTGGGCTAGACATTACTTATCGACCTTCCTGATAAATGTGCTTGCTCTGCCACTCTGCACTCATTTACACCTTGGCTCTAGTAAGCCATTTTGTAGGTGGCCTTGGTGCCGTTTGCATGTGGCTAGTCCTTTTCAAGTCAGCTTTTTGCACCAATCGTCCACTGCACAGGTCAAATAGACACTTCCGTTCACTGTTTGCTTATGTGTGTTGATGACGATGATGATAGAATAATGAAGGTGTCCTGTGTTTTTGTTGACCGGGGCTTTAACCTTAATGGTAGAAGCCTGTAGATTACAAATCACCTGGCCCTGCTTTCACCAATTTGGTGACCCCAGGATACTGGGAGTTGTAGTACAAGACATCTGGAGGTCACCAGGTTGGGGTAAGCTAAGCTAGCTAGGTGTATTACCTTAATACAGTGTTGGCCACTAACTCTTTTTCCTGGTGTGCTTTTTGGGTGCTTAATTGAGCATGGAATCCATCCATCCACATCCCATCACCACAAAACAATCTGTTGCCGTATTTCAGCGTCAGAGCCATTGCTTATCCAGTCTAGTCTCTTGTTTCTGGGTTCTGGCAGTCTTGGGAGGACCACGTGGCTTCCCTCTGGAAGCCAGGTTTCGTCTGGGGCCATCAGCTCTAAGTGCAAAACAGCACCCATCCATTTGTCAAATTATGCCTTGGAGGCCCCTGCCTTCAGGGTTTATATGTGATCCAGGGACACCCTGGCACTGATGCCCTGGCACTGACTTAGCTTACTTTCAGGTCATGACTGTGGCTGCATTCAGACATGTTTGGCAGCATGTCTGAATCTCTGCCAACTTCATGAGGGAGCTGCCAAGCCACGATGTCAAAACACGATTTATACTTTGTTAGTTACCCCGGCAAACTAGTTACAAACCAGTTACAGGAAGCTGGTGCACCAAAGGGAGGGGTGTTTTAATGTTGATTTATTGGTTTCCACTCAGATACTGTATTGGTTGTAAGCAGTCTTGAGGAGCTTTAGACAGACAGCTTTCAAAAGAAGAGGGTGGTATCAGTGGCTGGACTCTGCATCTGAAGGGTTGGGAACCACTAATGTAGGATTGTCCCATGCCTTGGTTCGTAGACAGCCGTTCTCTCCTCTCTTTCCTTGACCCCCTTCTATACCCAATGTCTAGAAACTCTCCAAAGAGGTCCAGAATGCTTTGGCAAAGGCCAACAACACTGCAGAAGAAACCCTCTCCGCCATGAAGACTGTCCGCAGCTTTGCCAACGAGGAGGTGGAGGCCAACGTCTACTGGGACAAACTGCAGCAAGTCTACAAGCTCAACAAAAAGGAAGCCCGGGCCTACACCTACTACGTCTGGTCCAATGGCGTACGCTCACCTCCCTTTTAGTCTGACCGTGTGTTCGGTGAACAGTAGAAGGCTGCTAGGGTGGGGAGGGAGCCGCTTTTCCTGGGGAGGGCCCTCGACACAGAGGAAAAGTCACCAGGAGAGGCACCGCCAGTGACGAATCTGCTGTGCAGAGTATCCCTTCTCATTCTCTATGCCGCCTGGCTCCTTTTCTGCCCATGGAGGCAGGCATGACGTGCAAGCAGACACAGTTCCCCAAGCGGTGCTTCGGGAACCTGGCATCCTGATGTATATTGCATGTTTCTGTTCAACCAGCCGTAAGCCCTACATGTTTTCGCCTGCAGCATGTGGCTGTGCAGGATGGAGTCCAAGGGGAACCCTCGGTATCCTGAGCCTGGGGAATGCTCTCTCCCGTGTCTCAGTCTGGATGCTTGTTCTTGGTTTCAGCTGACTCTGCTAATCGTTCAAGTCAGCATTCTGTACTATGGAGGCCACCTGGTGATCTCAGACCGGATGACCAGCGGGAACTTAATCTCCTTCATCATATATGAATTCGTCCTGGGTGATTGCGTGGAGGTAAGTGCTGTGTACCTGGAAGCCTCTATCTTTTATTTTCCACTCTGATTATGTGCTTTCATGGAAACGTCATCACCTTGGGACCTTTGATCTTCTCCCAGGAGCTCCACTGGCATTTCAGAAACAGGAAGAAGGTCGAGGCGAGGGCTGAGCTGACTTGATCTGACACAGGCCCTGAATATGCTCTGATCCTCCTGCTAGTTATCTTCATAAGTGCATTCAGTGCACTTCCGTTAAAACAAAAAGGACCCCGAGAACCTTGCTGTATCCGCACCTTCCTGACTTAACTGTGTGGAACTTGTTCTTCTTTTGAGCAGGAAGGACCCTCTTTCTAATTGTGACAACTCCAAGCTAAATTAGTTCTGAAGAAGTATTTTTGTTTTAAAAAGGCAAACATCCCGGTCTTAGTTTAGTCAAGTAGTTCTTCCTTGACACTGTAATCTCCTATATTGCTTTCATTGTTTAGTCCATTGGCTCAGTCTACAGCGGCCTGATGCAGGGAGTTGGAGCAGCTGAGAAGGTCTTTGACTTCATAGAGCGCCAGCCAACCATGGTGAATGATGGAACCCTGGCCCCCAGCCAGATGGAAGGCAGAGTGGAGTTCAGGAATGTCACCTTTGCTTACCGCACCCGACCTGCGACTCAGGTCTTACAGGTAACCTTTGCTGCCTTTCTTCTGTGGTAGGTAAAATCGTGTACTTCCTTGTTTGGTGCAAAGGAGAGTTTCAGGGTAGGTTATGTCTCCCTACGACCCAGGGCAAGGCAAGGGCCGTGAACCTTTGCCACGGTCGCAGTATCCTCCCAATTCATTCCTGCCCTCCTCCAGGACAGGGTTCTCTTTATTTTCTCCCCCACTACCCTCTCTTTCCTGCTGTGATTCTCCTCCTCGTTCTTCCTTATTTCCAAGAATAAGGAGCATTCAGGGAACACCTGTGCAAGTCACTTAATGTGCTGCACTAGCATAAAGCAGAACTTCTTTTCCAAGTGGGCAGGGCTGTACAGCATTGCCATGATGGAGTACCTTGATTGCATGCAGGTTCTCTGTCTCTCTCTCTGTCTCTCTCTCTGTCTCTCTCTCTGTCTCTCTCTCTGTCTCTCTCTCTCTCTCTCTCTCTCTCTCACACACACACACACACACACACACACACACACACACCATTGTGCTTAAGCCTTTTCAGTTGTGGATCCAGAGCTGTGGAATATATCTCCTGCCCCCTTTCCACAACCTGTCTGTATACTCAATTCAGAAACTTTGTTATTCTCCCCGAGTGCTTGGGATTTCACCAGAAATGAGCTTTTCTATAGATTTTTCTTCTTTACTTTAGGACGACTTTATTAAGACATTGCAAGACTTCATACACTCAGCTGCTTAAAGTATTTTATGATATATCAGTTGTCTTGGGGACATTTCTATTTAAATGGTAGTACAGAAATGTGATTAAGTTAAATTTAATAGACGTTAGACACATTGAGATTTGGGAAACATCGTTTTGTTTTACAGAATGTTTCCTTCATTCTCCATCCTGGGAAAGTGACAGCACTGGTGGGTCCCTCTGGCAGCGGTAAGAGCTCCTGTGTCAACATCATGGAGAACTTCTACCCTCTCCAAGATGGGCAAGTCCTACTGGATGGGCAGCCTATTAACATGTATGAGCACAAGTACCTGCACTCCGTGGTACGCGTAACCGATAACCATCTTCTAGCTTCTAGCGTTCGGTGTGGCTGAAAAAATTATCTGCAAATAATTGTATATGATAAATAGTATCTGGCTTTCTGAAAATATTAGGTTCCACTTAGGAGAATAGAAAGCAAAAGATAAATTTCTAGTCCTTAAGACTGTGAAGATAGGTGAGAAAGTGATGTTGTTGAAATCTCAAATGCTGAGTGATCCAAGGAAGGGATTCATTGCCTTGTGATCACCCAGTCTTTCTTCCTACAGCTACCAGAACCAGAATAATTATGTAAAAGGGGACAAATTGTGCCAGCTGACCTGATCTGCATAATTTATGCAGGTGATAGAACTCATTTTTGGTCCAAGGAACCTGCTCAGAATCTCCCTGTCATATTTTTTTTTAAGTCTAGAAAGATGGTGTTACCATCAGCCGATAAGCATGCCTTTCCCAGTATTTGTGGTTGGTTGGAAGGTAGTAATAATACACCTTAACAAGAAAAAAAGGATGATAAGGGGTTGTGCACTACTTACAGGAGACGAGGAAATTGTGTAAACAATGGCTAGAATTCACTCTTTTGAGCAATGGGTGACTTTTCAAGCAAGCATAGTCATTTAAACTGTGGGTGTTCTCCCTTCTCTTCCTCCCTGCCCCATTTCTTTCTGCAGATCTCTTTGGTGAGCCAAGAGCCAGTCCTCTTCGCGAGATCTATTGCAGAAAATATCTCGTATGGCTTGGCTTCTGCCCCTTATGAGTCCATCGTACAGGCTGCTCAAAAGGCCAACGCCCACACATTTATTATGGAATTGCAAGATGGCTACCACACAGGTACTGAGAGTCTGCTTCTTCGTGTCGTCGAGAGAGTAGGTTATACTGACAGGCGATGATGCTCTTGCAGGATGGAGAAGCAGGAAGGGGCCTTTCTCCTCTATATCTGTAGACATCTCAGCTTCTTGTGGTCAATCTCACTCTGTTTCAGGCACATGTCCTTTTTTTAGAGGAAGCATGATATGGATTTAAATCAATGGATAACTCTGCCCAGGAAAGAATCAAACCTTAATAGAAATGCTTCATTGCTATACGTCCCAATCACCAGAGCTCTCTGGGTGGGCCACAAAAATGAAAGCCCCAAACACAACATCATAAAATATAATAATTCCTTCATGTGCCTTTTCACAGCCCTCTCCCACAATGTAAACCACTAAAACAGCCAAAAATAAATACTCGGATCTGACAAAATAGCCCCATCGCCGCCCGCAGGGTTTTATATCCATTTTGCAGATCGAGGTGGGAACCAGGTTGACCAGTCTGACCAAGAGCGGCTTCCTTAAGACTTTTCTATTGAGTGCATGGTCTTGGTGTTTGGTTTGGTTTTAAACAGAAGGTTCTTGTTTCTTAGCCTCTGGACTTCACAGTGCTTCATGCGTCCTGCTTTTCCTTTGACCCAACAGAAGCTGGTGAAAAGGGAACCCAACTTTCCGGTGGCCAGAAGCAGAGAGTGGCTATCGCGAGAGCTTTAATCAGAAACCCCCCAGTCCTGATCCTGGATGAAGCCACGAGTGCACTGGATGCAGAGAGTGAACACGCCGTAAGTGGGAACTCTGGGAAGGAGCTCTTGTTCAGGCATAGGATTTGGATGCCAGCATTATGGGGACAAGAAATTGCTTCGCTGCAGCCTTCCCCATCCTGGTGTATTGGAAGTTGCTGTCCAATGCATTTGGGGGCGGGGCGGGGGGGAACAACAGGCTGGGGGTGACTGTCTTATGCCGTTGTGAGCCATCCCGAGATGTCTGTGATGGGATGGTATACGCAAGTTTTAAATAAATAGATAAATGGACAATGATGGAGAGGAGTTCTGTACAGTCCAAGACTGAGCGGTGGCACTTTCCAGGGTTTCTGGGAGGGGCCTTTCCCAGCTGTACCTCCGGAGAGGATCTCTTTAACTGGAATTGGCGGCAAGTTCACCTGAAAGCTCCTGCATTCCTAGCTGTGCTCTGTCTTGACAGAAAAGTGGGCGTAGCCCTGCATAATTCCCATCTCTTTGATGCAGAGTCGGACCATTGGTCCTCTGTCGCCCAGGGTGGTCTAGTCTCTGGCAGGTGCTTTCCAGAATCTGATGGAGAGTCTCCCCCACATCTCAACTTGGTTCCCAAGGGCCCTTGTAGGGAAATGATGCCGGGGCCTGGACCTGGACCCTTCTTCATGCAAGGCAGGTGACAGGGCTGTGACCCCTCCTCAGACGGTAGGAAGAATTGGATTGCAGAGGCTGAGCCTGGGCAGCCCCATCCCACCCCTGAGCAAATTCAAAGCAAAAACTGATGTAGGAATAAGGGGTTTTTCTACACTGACTTCCCCGCTTTGTTAACACAGATAATCAGGTTGACTCTTTTCATGCCTGTCTTTGCATGTACATGTGTGTTCTGGGGGAAGAATTTTGAGGGTGGGGCTTGCTTTCATCTCCTGCTCCCTGTTGTAAACCTCTGAGATGGACCTGGCTGGAAACTCAAAAGAAGGAAGTTGCGCTTTATGCCATTCTGTTTGATCCTGTCAGCCTTTCTCCTTCGGCAGATTCAGAAGGCCATTTATGGAGACGTCCAGAACCACACGGTGCTGGTCATAGCCCACAGGCTGAGCACTGTGGAAAAGGCTCACAACATCATTGTTCTTGATAAGGGCCGCGTGGTACAGCAAGGGACACACAAGCAGCTCATGGAAGAAGGTGGCCTTTACTACAAGCTGGTGCAAAGACAGATCCTGGGCCATGAAACCGGCACGGGGGATGCCTGTCAGTTGGATGGCAGTTTGGCAGGCCCCCGGAAAGACTCTCCAAAGATGGGACTGGAGGATGAGTTCCAAGTATAATGTCTCGTATGCCGGACTTGGTCGTTTTGAGCCAGACAGCCATGTTCTCCGAGGTGAAAGCACTAAGGAGTCCAGTCGAAATCTCCCTGGAAGACTTACCCTCCTTAGCACCGTTTCACTGCTGTTTTCTATACGATGTCTGTTTACACTCACGTGCAGTAGACGTTCAGTGTGCACCACGCCGCTGGGGCACTGTCCTGCTGACCAGAAAGGGAACCAGTGGGCTACCCATTCCCACAACTGCCCGTGTGTTCTCTTCTCCCACTGATACGCATGCAAAACCTGCTGTTATTTATAAACGGGTGTTTTTAGGCTGCATGTATTTTACGGGAAGAATAATGACCTCTGAAGGATCTCTGTGGGTGGCTGTGTGGAAGCCCTGGCTTAGAGCTGGGGCCCACACCAACAGCCGCTTTTTGGAACTACTCCAGTGCCTATAGACATCCTTTCTACTTCCATGAAAGCTCAGTTGGACCTATCAAGTATGGTGCGCTCGTTGAAGCGTACTTTCTATAGGGTGCTTGGCTCCATGTTTTGACCAGCTTATATCCAGGATTTGCAAAAATGGCCGAGCGGTTCTGGATACCTCAAACGTGACACACGCAACGTGGTACGCATCAAGGGTGCAGCTTGATGAGGTGTGACATTCACATGGTGAATATGCATGAAGTTTTGTTTTAGTTAAGCCAGGAGCTTTTAAGGCCTGTTTAAACTGAGCTGCGCATCCTGTCCAGAACCATTGTCCTTTTTTGTGCTTGGCCCCCAAAGGCCTCAGCTGCAGAACTTCCATCCGTAATGACACGGCTCAGATGAGGGGTCACTCATGGACTGCCTCCTGGCCTGCAAAAATTGCACTCCTTGAGAGGAATCCTCCATCCTACAAGCATTTTGGTTTTTGACTTTGGAGGTAGGCACCTTTAAAGAGAAGCAGCTTGTAAGAGCAACATTTCCGTTGCTGTTTATGAATTGTAGATTGTCAAGTTGGGCCATCACCCTTGGGAGTAAATGAGGCAATCCTATTTTCAGAATTTTACATTTGCAGCAACAGTCAAGATTCATATTTGGGTTTTAACGCCTAAAACCAGTCAGGAAAGGTTTTTTTTAAAATGGGCAGCATGCTCTATTAGGAAGAGGTGTTTCCCCAAAGAGTGTGCCCATGTTGGAGGTGGGGGCAAATCTCAAGCAAATCTCGTTCCAAGTAAGATATGCTAGCATTTCCCAATAACTGGTGAGAGCTGGAGGCCGTATTTTACTTTCTTTAATCATCAGGCTCTGATTGCCTGAACTGTTCACTTTGTTTGTTGAGTTAATTGTAGTGGAACAGGAGGGCGGGCAGAAAGTACATTTCCAGATCCATTTGGCGTTACCTAATTTGATCCAGTCTTGTTACAGTTCATAAATGATTAGAAGGAGCTCTCAGGCAGCCAAATGCATGCTTAAACAAACAAAACAAAAATCAACTAATAGTTGAACAATTTTAAAACTTTTGGAGGGTGATTAGTTCTCTCCTTCTGGTCACTCCAGTTGCACTTGGTTGTGAAATGACCTCAAGCACTTTAGCTCATTTTATTTTCTGATATTTGATGCTGCTGTATTATTGGCAGATTTTTGTTGTTTGCTATATTTAAAAGAGGCATATAATATTTTAGCAATATTTTACACACACTTTACAAAATTAAAAAAGACTACCTCTTACACTCTGCTTTTTGCTTTGGGGAAGGGTGTTCTGCTTGTTTTCCAGACTGTTTTATTAGAATAGCTGCCTCCAGACGGTAGCAAGGTTGGCCATTTGCCAAATCACAAGACTAACGATATGGTTGTCGTTCACACTTTGTAAAGAACATCCAGAAGCTCATTGCGGCACTGTGCAAGAATCCTTAACTGCTCCGCCCCTTCCCATCTAGGTAGCCTTTTCCCAACCGTGAGTCACTGCTTAATGTTATGAAACTACTCTCATGCCTGGTGGGCGGGGTGATGGGAATTGGAGCCCAACATCTGGTCATGTAAGATTGTAGTCTGTGCTGAGGGGTCTTTCTAAAGGTTGCTTCCTTGAACCTCCTAAAATCGTAGTCTGCACTGGTCATGCAGGTTACCGTCACCTGTCATTGTGGCTCATGTAATAGAAGGTGGTTGGTTTTTCTTGTTGCAGGTATTCCCTCTATACCTGGCCGTTTGGCATGCATTGGTTAACCAAGGGTCACTGTTTGGGGGCAGTTGGAAATATGAGACCTGCATGTCGTCGGTTAATAATTACATAATGGATGGATGGCTCTAACTCCAGGCAACTTTCTGCCTTAGGTTCACTGGTGACTAATGAGATTGAGATGGCCTCATTCTCTTCTGATCTCTCGTGTTCACTGAAAAGCATTTCCTTGCTCTTACCAGGCACATTTTTAAGATTTAGCATCATGTTCGTTTATATGATGAAATCCATTCCCTAGAACATGAGGCAGGCAAGCCTCCTGAAATTGCTTGAGGTAATTTCTACTGGTGATTACTAAAGGAAGTGCTGCCACTGTTCAGAATTCTTCCTGCATTAATGCAATGTCTGGTCTTCGCTTCCTCTGTCAGACCATAGAGTGCAAGCTGTGAAGGAAGTGTCTTAGAACTTTTCTACACGTTTGTTAATCCACTGCCAATCTGGTGGATCTGCTTTTGCGCTCTAGTGGAATAGCACAAATACAGAAAAGAAATTTGTGCTCTTTCATTTCCAGGCCTCAGCATTGACCTAGCTCTCTCTGGCTAGATGTACAAACTTCCAAACTGAATCAAGCTCAAGAAGCAAGTCTTTCAGGTTCCAGACAGAGATGGCTGGTTCAATATAAAAATACTCCCCATCCTGTCAAGAGCAACAATTTTATCTTTAAGAAAGGGGGAAAGTTGCTTAGGAAAAGGTGCTATACAAAAGATGCTTCCTGTTATCAGCAAAGATTTTGAAAATCTGATACTGAAATATCCAAAGCAGAAGATGTTATTTTATTTGCAAAGAGGCAGTTGTAAGGGGAACAGCTTGTTTTTTTCTCTTATACACAACCTTGGGCATATTGTACAAGGTGAGGCTTTCACATGAACAGCATGGCAGTCTCATATCTGTCAGTTTTCTCACATTGTCATTCAGCGCTAATTACTTTTCAACTATTATTAGAACAAAGGATTGTAAAGACGTTGGTTCTGGATGCCATTTTCCTCTCTTCGCTGTGCCTAGGCTGCTATTGGATGTAGACAAGGTGGAAGAACATTGTTTAAAGAGAAAGCATGCTGGCTTCCTAACTCATGGCATGATCCTGGTTTCTCTCTGGCTTCAACAGGTGCCACGGGCACATGTGCCATCAAGTTAAATCCTGGGTGAGCTGCCAGTCTTGCCCCTCCATCGGTGCTGGAAGCCAACTGTGCACCTCTCCTTACATGTCTTTCAAAGCAGAAGTATATTTTGTCATTGATAACATTCATTTGTTGTAGGACAAATTAAATGGGAAAAAGTACAAAACCAACCGTTTGAGCCACTGAAGACTGGAGGGTGGCTTCCTTGATGGAGTATTTCATAGGCATTAGCTCAGAAACAGGCAAACCTTTTGAGCCATGCACACATTTGTTGTGTTTATAATAACACATTTATTGTGTTGTAAGCCGCCCCGAGGCTTCGGCAAGGGGTGGCATAGAAATGTTCTAATAATAATAATAATAATAATAATAATAATAATTTGGCAATTAGAGAAACTGTCCTGAGCACTAGGACAAAGTGACCACACTGCAGTTAGCTGACACCTTTATTTCCTAAAATTGCCTCTGCCCAGATGTGATCCAGAGTCATTTATGCGAAAAGAAGATAGCAGTAGCCAGAAGACAGCCGTGTGATACCCAGCTGCTGGTAAGCTTTGTCATTAAAAAAAAAAAAGGGGTGGTACAATACCTTGGCATTTGTCCAAATAAGTTGTCTGAGGGTGCCTTGCTGGCCAAAGATGCCTCTCTGCCTATCCCCACACTAGCAAGTCAATATTACCTACATGTACAGACCTATTTTTAGAGCTCCACCCTGGACAGAGGCAAGTACTTCTATACTGAATGCAGTGAGGGTGTTCCAATCTGGCAATTATGCTACACAAATGTTACATCTGCCTTTTCGGAAACCTTTGTTTGATTCAGTTCTGCCAACGTACGTATTGCTTGAGTTGTATTAGTTACATACAGTAGCGACTTTTGCTAAACAAAATGGAATTGGGTTGTTAGGTGACTTAAGCAGAATGGATTTAAAAATGACCACAAATGAGGGTTGAAGAATTCCAGAGATTAAACTTGTGAAATATATTCTTTCCAAATTTTCCATTACAGACTGTTGTGAAGGTGACTCACAGAAAATAAATACACAGAACAAACATGCTAAAGTCAAACCTTGAACAGGCAGTCAAGGGTGTGGTTGAAAACACAATTATAAATCAATAAGGTCAAATGTTTCCTCAAATCACACAATTCAAGCAGGCTGGGTGTCATTTCTTCTATACAACCCAAATAGCTGTAATTCAGATGGTCCGTGTGTCTATGATAGAGACACTGCACATACGCACTTATATGTGTAATATACCTCTTAAAAGTGCTAATATACTTACCTGTGAGGGTTTAATGAACTTATACTTGGGAAAAGGAATCGAGGCCATAAAAGGCAGATAAGTATAAATACATTTAATTAAATCAATCACAAATTCTTACCATAAAGGGACAATCGCCAAACAATGAGAAAAATACCTCTCAGTCATCTGTCTTCCCCACAAGTACAGTACTTCAGGTTGCCTCATGCAGGTGAGTTGTAGCTTACAGAAAACTTATCATCTGTTTTAAACATAATTATAGCTGTTTTCAAAATGGAATAGTTACTTCATGTACATTAAGTATCTCCCCTGCACACTGTTTTTGTTTAATATTTTTTAAATAAGAGAAATTGTGCTGCTCAATTTAGTTGCACAACCAGGAAATCCGGAATAGGATCACTTATGCAATTGTTGACATATCTTGCAAGTGAATGCTGTTACACCCCAGTTCATATCCTAATGATTCCCAGCCAAACAAGAAGTCCCAATCATTGCAATGGTACTGATTATCATAGGATTTTCAGAACAGACTTAAATGCTTCTCTGGTACCTTGTGAAACAATATTTTCCCAGCCTTTACAGCTATGAAAAGTGAAGGTCATGCTAATTAAAAATAGTGTAGGGATTTTGAAATATACGTCTAGCTTTTGAAAATATGAAAGTGTGTAACTGCTCATCACTATTTGGAAATAATATGCATTGTGTTCAGTGGAGTTTACTCTCTAGTAAGTGTGTATACTTTGGGCAGATAATGAGACACTGTATTTTAGGCTGCAATATGACCCTACCAATCCAATTATTTGACAGAAACTAAAACATGAGAATGCTTAAGGCCACACTGTACATTAATGCCCAAACAGGTCATGCTTCCTTAAGATGCTCTTTTTTTTCTTGCAAATGTCTCATAGAATTATCCATGGAGCTCAGGAAACATACCAAGTGACAAAAACATTTGAAATCTTGTTTTCTCTCCCTTCTTAAAACATGAATCACCCTATGCACTCACACACACACAATAATTGAGTGATTAGGTAAAGTCTCTGAACAGCAAGGTAGGGCTGTTCACATGGCCATTTACTCCACCCTAAGAGCTATTAAACCCAATTACATCTGAGTAATTAAGGAGTATACTCGTACTTGTTAGCTATAGCAAAAGCATTCCTGGGGAAAGCAGGAATCTTTATTTTTCCACTGGAATGTTACTATACAGGATGCTTTTCAGTTATGTGGGTGAGAAGCAGTGAAGACTGCAGCTTTTAGCAACTGTGCCCATGGGACATGAAACTCCATAACTTCAAACTGAATAAATAAAATGTTTATTAAGGGCACATTAGTCTTACAAGGAACTCCAGAAAAGACGATCAACTCTTCAAATGCATTCTGAAATTCTCTGATAAAAGAGACTCATTTTATTATAAAAAGAGGTTTCAAATCCTTCCCATTAAAATGTATGGGTTTCTTTCTGAAGAAAAAAGTTAACTCCTTAATTTTCCTGCTCTTTCTTCCCCCTGTCCAAG